ATATTTTGGAGATCAGCCCTCTGTCAGATGTGGGGTTGGTGAATATCTTTTCCCAGTCTGTGGGCTGTCGTTTTGTCTTGCTGACTGCATCCTTTGCCTTACAGAAGCTTCTCAGTTTCAGGAGGTTCCATTTATCAATTGTTGATCTCATTGTCTGTGCTACTGGTATAATGTTCAGGAATCGGTCTCCTGTGGAGGTATATTTTTCTATTCACCCTTATGTGGTTGTTGATTATCAAGATGAGCAAAAACGTTCTTACTTTACTAGGAAGTTACACTTGATAAAATGGAGTTTAAGAAAAACATAGGGTGAAAGATGGTACGAATATTGTGAATCATTCATCCATTTAATAAACATTTTATAAATCCATTTAATATGTCATGATTTGTGCCAAGATCTGTATTAAACTAATAAGAAGGGGTGTTTAGTTTTACAAAGCCTAGTTTATTAGGAGAGATAAACACATACCTGTCTAAAACTAATCTTGTGGGAAATACACAAGGAATTATGAATGCACCAAGGTCACACATCTAAATGAATCTGTGTGTTGATTGTCAAGATGCTGTTTAATGAAAGCAACATGCTTCTTTGCATACTACTGCCAGAAAGCAGTAGTAACATGAATTAACACATTTTCCCATGTATTCCCCCACAGAGGACATTCAATAGTGGCTTATGAGTTTAACAAGGAGGATATAATAACTCAAGAGCTTCTGTAAATCCAGGTTTGCTAGGACACACCTGCATCTCAACACTCAGGAAGCTGAGTCAGGAAGATTGCAGCAAACTAGAGGTCTTTCAGGGCCACATAGTAAGACAATTTTTCAAAAGCCAAAGCAAGAAAAAAAATCAAACAAACACAGCAATCCCTAGTCATGAAACATTTTATAGTCAGATACCTATATGATTGTCATGCTGCAAGCTGAACATTATCTCATTAAAAAGCATAGGTACTTATCACCTGAGTTTTTCTAATGAAATTTGTAACTGGGGAAAAAATAAGTGTGATTTTCATCATATTTAAGACACACTGTTAAAAAAAAAAAAGACACACTGATGACTGATAGAGCTACAGAACTCCCTTTTCATTTTTACATGTGTGTGTGTGTGTGTGTGTGTGTGTGTGTGTGTGTGTGCTTCTGTGTGTCTGTGAAGGCCTGAGGTTGCTGAATTCTTGATTGCCCCCCACAACTTTTATTTTCAAAGTCAAACTCTGTCTAATTTCATTAAACACACCTTTCACAAATGATTATGGTTTTTCAGGCTGAACATGGGCAGCCAAGTATTAACAGTATTTAGACACTTTCAAACTCCCTTCTTGGGTGGACTATCAAACTCAGAAAGACACTACAAAATCCAATGCAATCTATAATTGATGCTCTGAACAGAAGTCCAGAATGAAGGCAGACATTTCAGGTAAGCCCTGTTCAGCAACTTTTCAGAAGCTACTCTGGACTTTCAGGGAATGAAATGTAGGAAGAAGAATTGCCAATCAGAAAAACCATAGTCTTTTAGAAAAGGAACGGCTGCCTTTTAGAGGAATAGCATTTCAATAATATCCATGCAAAACTCAGTCACTTAGCACACTAGTAAAAACAATTTTAGGGGGTCAGGTCCAAACAGGTATCTTATTTTAAAGAAGTTAAATTTCTTAATGATAGAGGGTGTAGAGGATGTGAAAACAAACTTTTAGTTTTCCTACACTATAACCTATTTTGTGCTAAGGTGGCCAAATATATGAGCATCAGAGAATTCCCTCCTGGGAGACAAGAAGAACCTTTGAAAACAAAGAGAACAAGGTGTTTCCTCCATATCACTACATTTTGTTAGCAACATGTTCCCCACCCTGCAAACAATGAAATGTGTTCTGTGTGCTAACAGTATTGCTTAAGACAAACTGGCAAATCAAAATTCTACATTTACATAAAACTTGATAATAATAGTATTTCTAACTCTACAGTCAGCAGAAGCACACAGTTACCAAAATTTCAGACAGTTCTCCTAGGCTTTCTGTGCTTTTCAGCTTTTGCATCTCGGTTTTCTATATGGCTGTTCCCAACCTTGCCAATACCAGCTTCCCTCTTTTCCCTTGGGACATCTTCTCTCTTCTCTGCAATGGCCTTTTCAGGCTTCGGTTCTGGATTTGGAAGAGCTTGTTGAGTAGATAATCTCAATGATTATTGAGACTCAGCTTTCACTTGGGGGCTTTGTCTCCTCTAGCATTCTCTGCACACTTTCTTTTAAGTATGGTTGTAAAAACACAGGTAAGTGCTGACTTAGAGGATACAGTGGCCTTTGACATTGAATATTCTCACTTCTTCAAGACACTACCCTTGCACCATATTGTTTAAAGAAAGGGTTGCTCATTGAATTGGAGTTCACTGCCCAGTAAACCTCAGGGATATTCCTGTCTCTGCCTCTTCAGGATTGGGTTTACAAATTTAGGCTCCATTCGTAGTTTTTTTACCAAGGTGTTGGAATTGGAACTCAAGTCTTCATGCTTTGGCAAACATATTACTGACAACTATTTCTCCAGTCCCTCATAATTTTTGAGGGCAGTCTTTGCTAGTTCTAGATAGGCACTACCTTACTTGCATTGAACTTTCTGGCTTACAGGCAATGTTATTGGAAAAAACACGATCAATGAGTGGTCTCATGTAATACATTAGTAACTCTGCCCTATGGGGATGGCTTGCCGTTGTACTATTTGTTTCATTCTAAGTCAATAAAAGCACTTTGATTCTATAACCTCAAAATAAAAGAAGTGAATGGCACTTTTTTGTACAGCATTTTCTTGATTACAGGTTGACTACTGGCTACCCTGTTTCAGCTTTTGTTCCTTAATCTTTAGAGAAGGCAAATCCCCATAAAGTGTTCCTATGAGAAATGAGACTTTTGTATGCAGATACAAAGGATAGTGTCTGAAATTTAGCAGGAATATGTTTAGATTTGTATGGTCATCCAAAAATGATGTCTTTTATGTTTTTGTCCTTGTTATTATTTTTTTCCTGAAAGTAGCTGAGCCTTTAACACTTGTCTTTTATGAAACCTATCTTTCCAACTGCTGTGGTCTTTTCAGCACATTACATAGACATGACTGCTTTGACTACCTATAGACCTGGCCCCAATTAGTGAAGGAGAGTGCTGGAAGCACACCTAGTCTTTCCTCAGTGGTGGCACTCTTGGGGGTTTCCATGTGTGGTTTTCCTGCTTCTTTAGCTATAACATTGACAATAAGATATTAGTTTTGCTTACACGTAATCCAGTCCCAAACTCTTGTTGGAGAAATTTCCTTGATTCACTCATGCTTGAGACAGGTTATATATTAAAATGAGAAGACAGAAAGAAACAGGCATTGAAGTCAATTAAGACTTGATATGGATTTATTCCAGCCGAAGTTTGAAATCATTATACAGTTTCTTAAATTAATACAGATGAGGATATTTAATGAAGTAAGGACAGCATGGTTTTATTAAATTTTAGTTTCAACTATATTCCATGGTCAGTGTGATAAAATGAATTTTATTTTAAAAGAAAAATCTTGGAAGTCACAAGTTAAGTATGTTGAATGCTTTCCTGCCACCTGTTGAATATGTCAATAAAGTCACTGAGCAACGATTATGCTGCAGACACTATTTCAAACGATTAACTGTCTAATTAACTATGCCCATTGCACCCTCCTTACCTTTCCATGGACTTCTGGTATAAATTTTGAGAGGTTTTCTTTTTACGAAGTTGATTTTGCAATTAGGCAGCATAAAACTCTGATTCCTAGAGGGAATCCGAGCTTCTCTAAAACTCCTGAAAATGACGTCAGCGTTAACACTTTGCCAGCGGAGTTTGTGTTTAGCTAAGTCTGGAAAGCTTATCTCTAGACGGGATGGGGTGGGGCAGCTGATAGAGAAGGGAGAGGCAAAGGGAGACCCGCTTATAGCCCTGAGGTGGTGTTTGTAGGTAGGGCCACTCACTGACGACTGGCGGGATAGAGGACGCTAACACACAAAAGGCTACTTCCGGCTCAAATTTCTTTACCGAGTTTCTTTCTTTTGGCTGAACTTTTTTGGGGGGGGCGGGGGGATGAGGACATAAGAATCCCAAAGGAAGTAGGTGTGCGTGCGCCTGGATGCAGAGAGCGTCCCCGCA